CTCTTTGCTGTGGGGTGCTGCCCTGGGCAATGTCAAACATGCAGCAGCTTCCTTGGCCTCTACCCCCCGGATGCCAGTAGCACCCCTTCCCAGCTGTGACAATCAAAAACGTCTCCTGGGCTTCCCTGGTGGCGCAGTGGTTGAGAGTCCGCCTGCCGATGCAGGGGACGCGGGTTCATGTCCCAGTCCCGGAAGATCCCACATGCCGCAGAGCGGCTGGGCCCGTGAGCCATGGCCGCTGAGCCTGCGCATCCGGAGCCTGTGCTCCGCAACGGGAGAGGCCGCGACAGTGAGAGGCCCGCGTACCGCACACAAAAAAAAAATGTCTCCAGACATGGCCAGATGTTCCCTGGGGGCACAAACATAAGTGACCCAGGAAATCTTCATATTGATTTTTTTTCCTTCAAAATCTTGAGTAAATACCCAGTTATGGTAGAGTTGGTAAAACGTTCTTTGCCCTTTGACCACAGATGCCTCCCAGGTGGCCTGGATGAACTCAGCTGCTATCTTCTTGGGAACCAGCTCTATGTTATCAGGAAAGCTGGTCAGCCCTACGCCAAGGTAGGTAAATAGAAGCATTTTTTTAGAATGCTGAGACACACCACGTATTAGCTTCCTAGAGCCGGCATAACAAGCTACCGCAAAGAGAACAGCATAAAACAAAAAGTTATTCCTTCCCAGTTCTGGAGGCCAGAAGTCCAAGATCAAGGTCTCAGCAGGTCTTCAGCTCCCTCTGAAGGCTCTCTGGAAGAATCTCTCCTTTTGCCCCTTCCCAGCCTCGGGTGGCCGCTGGCAATCCTGGGCTTTTCGCACCTCACAGCTGCATCGCCCCAATCTCTGCCTGTCTTCACATGGCTGTTTTCACACTCCATCTGCGTCTTTATAAGGACACCCGTTTTCGGTTTTCTCTCTTTATAAGGATACCAGTCAGGGCCCATATTAATCTAAGTATGATCTCATCTTCATTTAAATAATTACATCTGCAAAGACCCTATTTCCAAACAAGGTCACTTTCTGAGGCTCCAGGTGAACACGAATTTGGGGCGCCCTGTGCAACCCATACTCATATGAGCAGACTGGCTTGCGATGGCTGTGCAGTTCTCCCGGCCACTGTCCCCACCAGGCCTTCTGCAGGGGCCGCCTCCAGCCCAGCCAATGCCAGGGCTGAGCTGACGAGAGATCAAAAGGGGCTGCTTCCCCATCCCTCTAACCCTGTCGGAGCTCCTGCCCCGGCCACCCCCCTCGCCTCCCTCCTTTCTGCCTCACTTGTAACCTGGGCCCACTCTCAGCGCTGCTGGACGTGACCGTGACCATCCAAAGAGGCCTCCTTGCTGCGGAGAGGAGTGTCTCTCTCTAGGTGTGGGTTCCTGGACAGATTTGTATCTGTTGCTTTGCTGCCTGTCTTTAAATTGTGTTCATAAGAGACCACAGTTCCCCATTTGTATACGCGTCCTCGTGATTGCTTTCACTATGAGGTAGAAAACATCTATCAATATTTGCATTTTCTTCCCCTCCTCCCGACCCCTATGTCTTTAGGGAAAAAAAAAAAAAAATTTCACGCTACAGTGCAAACCATACTGTTATCATTGATGTTTCTCTCTCTTGGAATGCTTTCTTGGCTTTCCATGTTCTTTTGTCTGCCAAGCACACTTGACCTGTGGTAATGGAAAGGTCACAACGGCACTGATCAATCTCTCCAAGCAGTCTCATTTGCCCAAAGTACGAGATTAGGGTGGTATGAGGAGGAGAACGCAGGAAGGACGGGGGAAGAGGTGCTACCTGGTTGAGGAAAGAGGGAAGGTGAAGAACGTGGATAAATACGGAAGCAGGGCTCTTGGCCTCAAAGCAGAACAGCAGATCAGGTTTATTAAACCAGGAAAAGCTGGGAAACACAGACACAGGAGCTTTCAAATACCTAAGCGCTCAGATTTAATGACTGAAGGACTAAACCCGGGTAGGTGAAGCAAAGCACTTTTCTTTGGGAAACTATGAGTTAATCAGGTGATTTACGGTGCACTGACAATGGCAAGAGAAGTCAAGACTAACATTGTAACTAACAGCTCACCTTCAGTCTTCGAAAGGCGTTTGCACGACATCCCACCCGTTTTCTTAACCAGCACTTAACAAACGGGTAGAAGTCAAACTACTTTGCGGATGAATGTTTTCGGGTGTAAAGTATTTTGCGTCTTGGACAACACATTGCAATCACCTGGGCTGGGGACTGACTTTGTCAACGGTGAAGGACAAGCGTTGGTGGGTTTTATTGCCCTGCTCATGGGCAGCTACAGCTCAGAACTACTAGTGTAGAAAGCCCGAACTTTTTTTTTTTTTTTTTTTTTTTCGGTACACGGGCCTCTCACTGTTGTGGCCTCTCCCGTTGCAGAGCACAGACTCTGGACGCACAGGCTCAGCAGCCATGGCTCATGGGCCCAGCCGCTCCGCGGCATGTGGGATCTTCCCGGACCAGGGCACGAACCCGTGTCCCCTGCATCGGCAGGCGGACTCTCAACCACTGTGCCACCAGGGAAGCCCAGAAAGCCTGAACTTTTAAAGATTATTAGTATCCCACATATTTACTACTAAGCAGAAAAAAATGCAGCCACATCTTTTGTTATCTTGCCCTACCATTCTCCTTGCCTTAGGACTGAATACTTTTTCCCAGTAGGGGTCTACTTTTCAAAAGGGCAGGCCAGGAACTTGGAAAGAGTGCATTCTGTCACATTTAACCTTTCATTTTTACGATAAACCACTGCCGTGCTGGACTTCAGAGCAGAGAATGAGGACCCCCTGCCCCTTCCACAGCACTAGCTCCCTTGCTAAGTTTCTCTTCCCTGTGTTGGCCTCTCCCATGTCACCTGCCCACCTGACCCTGGGGCTTCACCATGGCTACTTCTTAACTTCCTTAACACCCTACAGATGTTGGGTTTGCCTATATTCCTGGTCCTCTATAAAAAAACAAATAACAATAGCAAGTCTCAATTCCTAAATGGTATCTCATCAGTAAAAGAATACACATTAAGCTTCCCTTCTGGCTAAAAAGTGAGTATACTATTTTAGCTTAGTGTAAGACCCAAATGAATCAATCAAGGAATATGTATTGCATGCTCAGAGGGACAAAGGCAAGAGTAGAAAATATACAAAGTACTCTGTGTAGATTCTCAAGGATCTTGCCATCTAGACCAGGGGTTGCAAACTATGGTTCACAAGCCAAATCTGGCCCCCAACTGCTTCTATAAATAAAGTTTTATTGGAACACAACCATGCTTTTGTGTGTGTGTGTGTGTGTGTGTATGGCTGCTTTTGCACCATGCTGGCAAAGCTGAGGAGTTGTGACAGAGACCATCTGGCCTTCAAAGCCTAAAATATTTACCATCTGGCCCTTTATAGAAAAACTTGCCAATGCTGATCTAAGCAAACTAACAACCACAACTACAACAACAAATATATATTTGAGATGGATGGATGGATAGAGATAGATAGATAGATAGATAGATAATGTATTAATGTGAAACAGAGAGGGTTCCTGCCTTTAAGAGGCCCACAGTCTACTGAACAATCATTAATCCTGAGAAGTAAATAAGCACCCAAAGCGGGGACTGTGCAAAGGAGAAGAGGATGTTTGAGGCTGGACAGATCCATGGGTAACTAGAATTGCCTGTGAGCTGTACAGGTAGATTCTAAGGTGAATGGGGTAAAGAGGAGAGTGGGGAAGGCCTTGGCAAAATTGGAATGAAGAGGCAGGAAGTCCAATCCATGGCTGAGGGACAGCCGTGGCAGTTGGGCTGCTTCCCAGTCTATTGGAGCATGAGGGCATGATTTGTTTACCACTTGTCTTCCTTGATGGACTTGAGGTTTTATGAGGGTGCAGACAATGTTCACATTGTTCACTTCGACCCCGGCATTAAGCAACATGCCTGCCGTATAGTAGCTGCTTGATGAATATAATTTAAAAAGTAAAAAATGAATGAATAAACGGATGTCTGGAATTATCAGGTTGATGTGCCATAAGCCAGTTGAGTCAGGCATTTCAACCACGGTGAAATGACCTCTGACCTTACTTTGAAACAAAGGCATAGATGAGGAGATAAGAAAGCTTTTATTGAGCAACTAACTACTCTATAACAAGCCTTTTACAAGCACTAAATCATTTAATTCTCTCAGCCACCATTTTAGGGATGAAGAGATTGAGTTTCAGAGAGGTTAAGTAACTGGCCAAAGTCACACAGCCAGAAAACTGGCAGAACTAAAATGCAAACCCAAGTCTTCACTTTGTTATTTTCAGCTCCGAGGCTATGTACACCCATCCATGCCTACCAGTCATTTTCATACCATGCTCTGCAGACCTCAGTCTCCTCAGAGCCACCATAAGTGACATGAAGATCAATCCAGCAGCACTGGTGACCAAGAGCACAGACTCCCCGCCCAGCTTCAACCAGAGGAGTTTTCATTTCTCTACTTCACACATGGAGCTTCCTGATTTCATCCAAACACATAGTTCTTGGGGGAACGAAAAAGAATGAGAAACCACTATACTGGACCACGCTACTTCCTCAAACCAAGCCAGGAGGTACAGTTTCTAGCCTTAACTCCACCACCAACTCGCTATGGGGTCAGGGTCCATCACTACTCCTTCCTTCCATTCTTACACAAGAAATGTTCCGCGACAGATACTGAAATCCCATGAAGCTTCTTAACTTTCCAGAGAGAATAAGATTAAATGAAGAGTCCATTTAATGAATGAAAATGGCTGGGCCACCTTGAGTAAAATTCTAGATAAAGTTGTAATTCCATCAATGACAGCAAATTAGAGGAGTGTGATGAGTTACCAGGCAGAGCTCAGCGGAGTCATTGCTGGATGCCTTGTTTGATGACTGCTAATCGCATCCAGCAGAACTCAAAAACCAAACAGGAGCCAATCTTTTGGCCTTACCTCATAGTAACCAGCACGTGACAGAACATGGGGATCTTAGTGAACAGTCCACAGAGGCACATCCACTTACCAATAGAGATGTAATAGATGAATATATTGATTCTCAAAGAATTCACAACTGGAGACAATGCCACACTCATCTATGGTTTGACCATTCTTATACGAAGTTATCTCTGGCTTGGGCTGACCTGACGATAAAGAAATAAGAATATTCTTATTATGTGAAGCATCTTTAGAAAAAAAAATCATAAAGCTATGAATAAGAATGGGTGATAAAAAGAAAAGAATGGGTGATAAACAATAGGGGTAAACATGCTGTATATGTCACTTGGGGAACTAGAAAAGCTTCCTCTCATTGATAAAAATGCATCGTTTGGACTTCCCTCGTGGCACAGTGGTTAAGAATCCGCCTCCAATGCAGGGTACACAGGTTCGAGCCCTGGTCCGGGAAGATCCCACATGCCGCGGAGCAACTAAGACCATGCGCCACAACTACTGAGCCTGCGATCTAGAGCCTGTGAGCCACAGCTACTGAGCCCGTGCTCTGCAACAAGAGAAGCCACCGCAATAAGTCCACACATTGCAACGAAGAGTAGCCCCTGCTCGCCGCAACTAGAGAAAGCCCGCATGCAGCAACGAAGACCCAACACAGTCAAAAACAAATAAATTAATTTTTTAAAAATGCATCCTTCAATAAACACTATTGGGCATGTTACATGCCTAAGATGATGCGGTGCTGGGGTGAGAGTGGGGCAGACAAAATGAAAAATGTTGCTCCTAATCTTAAGACGCTATTAAGAAAAACTATCTAAAACTTAAAAAGAAGCCAAAAATGTGGATGGTATCCTGTTTCAGTGTCACATGGGAGCAAAGTTCCATCTAAGAGTTATGTAGGGGAATGTACTTTGTTTCATCAATGATTACTATTGATTAAAATTCCCAGATTTAGTGAAGTTACATATAAGCCTGTAGATTTGCATTCAATGGAGATGCAAATAATCTCTGTCTAGCAGACAAGATAACCCCACAAATTATGGTTTATTGCCCTATAGGACATTAACCAGTGTTTTATCTAATGCAGCAATCTTATCCTAACATTCCTTTATTAAGTTGCCTATAAATACCCAATTCCTCAAACGTTCTTTGACCAGGCCTTAATATTTTCTGGTTCCCTCTTTATTCAAAGAATTGAATAAAATCTTTGAAGTTCACTCTGTATTTGCATGGGAGTGAAAATTATACTTTAACAGTGCTCAGAGTCGAGTGTATGTTACGGTACAAAAGAGGGAAGAACAAAGTAGATTAGCTAAAACCATGTCTTCCTAAGGATAAAGGAGTTTGGAATGTAGGTTTCCCAGGCTGGTACTGTACACATGTGAGTGACATCATCACAAAATTGACCTACGTTTTCTCCCTCAGAAGGGGTTCATCCTCCCCTGGTGATCATTAACCGGATGTAATGCTAAGGGGCTAATCCATTCACCCCTTGGGATCTTTTTTCCCCTTGTGACAGACAGGGCAGGAAGGTTTCCAGTGTGTGCCAACGAGCTTTCTCACTAGCTTCCATGTCATTGAAAATGTATAAAATGTACCATCTATACCGGAGGAAAGCCCAGTATTTGGGAGCAATACACCATTCTGAATCCATCCCAGGAACATTCTTGTGTTTCTGTCTTATCACACGATCTTTGGCGAGCAACCCCGGAGATCATTAAGAGAAAAACTCCACGTTCTCCTAAGGCTTAGAAGGGGGAGGGCTAAAAATGTCAGGGGCGGGAGTAACAAGAAAGTCAGTGACACCTGTACCGTGGACAGGACCTGAGGGGGGCTCAGGGACCCTCTCCCTTCCTCTCTATGTCTCTTCTAATTTGGGGTCTCCCAGCTGCGCTACCTCTTTCCTTCTCCTCCAGGTAAGCACCTGCATAGTTGATCCCTGGCTCCAGGAGCAGACAGACCTGCGTGCAGGGACACATCTCCCGCAGCTGCTTACCTGAGTCTCTTTCAAACAAATGACTAAACCACCGAAAATAAGCTTCCCTGAAAACCTATCAAGGAAGCTGCTGATCATATTTCATTTCTGCCTGTTCTTAGCAGACTTGGGTTCCCATTCCCATCAGTTTGATCAGATTCCTTCTCAGGAAGCATTTAATTGCTCCTTGTGTGTGGGTTCCTGACTTTTATGGAAGCCATTATATCAAGTATGCATGAGCTGAGCCTGGGGAACTCATTCTGATCTCTTGGGCTCCAGTGTTTCATTTCAGCCAGAGCAGGGCTGATTGAGTCCCCTGGCTTCTTACTGGCTGACTGGTTTTTTCCCTTCGTGTGGTGTAGAGCTGAATGATCAGCCACAAACGAGACTTGCACAGGGAAGTGGTATCTTGTACCTTGTGGGTGGTTCTCTTTTCTCCCTCTGCTTGCTGGAAATCTCACCCAAAAATCCTACCCTTGTTTTTTTTTTTTAAAGAGTCAATTTTTTTTTTTAAAGAGTCAATTTTATTTAGTTATTTATTTTGGCTGCATTGGGTCTTCGTTGCTGCACACGGGCTTTCTCTAGTTGCGGTGAGCGGGGGCTACTCTTCGTTGTGGCGCGCGGGCTTCTCATTGCGGTGGCTTCTCTTGTTGCGCAGCATGGGCTCTAGGTGTGCACAGGCTTCAGTGGTTGTGGCACGTGAGCTCAGTAGTTGTGGTTCGCGGGCTCTAGAGCGCAGGCTCAGTAGTTGTGGCGCATGGACTTAGTTGCTCCGCGGCATGTGGGATCTTCCTGGACCAGGGCTCAAACCCTTGTCCCCTGTACTGGCAGGCAGATTCTTAACCACTGTGCCACCAGGGAAGTCCCTACCCTTGTTTTTTAAGCCTACCTGCAGGTTGCATATTGAGAGCCACTTTCAGAACGTTTCACAAGTATCTGGCTAATGTGTGAGGGGGCCGGTAGCCAAGGTTAGGGTCCACCCAAACACCGGGGCTTCCTAGGGAGACAGGAGGCTACTCTGAAGGCTCAGTAGTGGACTTGAGCCCATTCCTCTATATGGATGCCTATGGACAAACACCGAGAAAGAGGGGGGGCTGTGCTCTCGGCCTGGGGAGTCTGCGTGCACAGTCCTACACCCAAACATCCACATTGAAAGGTGAGATTTTATTTTGACTTCTGCTAAGGAAGCGCAGCCATTTCAGAGGCTGGCTCTTCTCCTCTCTGGACTTAGAAAAAGGGATCGGGGGCAAAAAGTTTTCTGTCATCCCTCAGGAAAGTCCATCAGTGCCCTCCATGTTTTCAAGGGTAGACATAATCCAAGAAAGAAAAGAAAACAACTCACAAGGTACAAGATACCACTTCCCTACCCAATTATTTTACTTCTATTTTCTTTTAATAACAAATCCCTTTTCCCACGGTGGGCACCAGTTCTGGAGTTCTGGGTTATTTATTCTCCAGTCAGGGGGAACTCCAGCCCTCTGCTTTCCCTCCACTGGGCATGTCTGTCTTGGTTTTAACGTTTTCACTGCTGACCAGCATAGCTGAAGAAGGCAAGCAGTGGGGAGATGAATTTAGGCAGGCTGGGGATATCAGTAAAAGGTGATAAAGAAGAGTTCAGTAAATAAAGTGAAGTTATTCATGCCATTCCCATGCACCACAGGAAATTAAGAGTGGATTCTAAAAAAAAAAAGTTCTGATGAACCTAGGGGCAGGACAGGAATAAAGACGCAGACGTAGAGAATGGACTTGAGGACATGGGGAGGGGGAAGGGGAAGCTGGGACGAAGTAAGAGAGTGGCATTGACATATATACGCTACCAAGTGTAACATAGATAGCTAGTCAGAAGCAGCTGCATAGCACAGGGAGATCAGCTCAGTGTTTTGTGACCACCTAGAGGGGTGGGATAGGGAGGGTGGGAGGGAGGCTCAAGAAGGAGGGGACATGGGGATATATGTATACACATAGCTGATTCACTTTGTTATACAGCAGAAACTAACACACCATTGTAAAGCAATTATACTCCAATAAAGATGTTTTTTAAAAAAAAGGGAACAAAACATACCTTTTATATATATTTATATTCTTATTAAGGATTAAATACTTTGCACAAAAGGTGTGATTAATAAATATATGTGTGTGCAAAAAAAAAACAAACAAAAAAGAGTGAATTATCTGAAAAAAGAACCAGTGTGGGAGTTGCCTAACCAAGAATCACAATGGGTAGTAAAGGAGATCACTAAAACGTGTCCAGAAAGGTATTCAAAGAAATCTTCTAGAAAAAAAAATCATAGAGGATTCAGTTGCTCAATCAGTTACTCAGAACTAACTTCCCAGGTTATTTTCCCAGGCGATGCTTTAACAATGCCCTTGTGAGCCAAATAACCTGGTCTGCAGGTAGATTTCAGAGGGTGATGAGCTAGAGATGCTTACCCGATATTATGCAACGAAGCACAGCGTCTGACTTCTCAGGAACTTTCTGGGAAAGCAAAGTAGATAAAAATCAAAGTGTGCGCCTCTGGGGCCCTCCTGAGTCTGTCATCTTTCCGTGCCACATGAACCTGAAAAATAAAAATCCCCAACATCACCGTATGTTCTGGGACGTCTATGACTTTTCTCAGGAATTTGAGAAACCCCACCACCCCATGAGTGGTACTTAGGGAGAGAAGGAGCATGGTCCCTTGGCTGGGTGCTGCACTCAGTCTGGCGGGTGGGTTGGGAGTCCTCGGGCAGGCTTTCTCACCCACCACTGCTGACATTCGGGCCAGAAACGTTGTTATGGGGGGCGGTCCTGGGCATCGTAGGACGTTTAGCAGCGTCCCTGGCTTCGACCCACTAGAAGGGATAGCACCCCTTCCCCAGGTGGTCCCAATCCAAACTGTCTGCAGATGTTACCAGTGCCCCAGGGAGGGCAGCCATGGTTTTAACCTCAAGTCCTAGCGGATGGCAGGGCGGCCACAGCCCAGTCGGAGAGGGAAAACTGCATGAGCCTACGGCCAATGCCACCTCTTTCAAAGTTTTTTTCCTATTGCACTCAAAAAGTGTGTGCATATTTGCCTCCCAAAAGAGGAGTTGATTCAATACAAAGGAATTGCCAGGTGGGAGGTATTTCTCCAGGTGAAACTGGGAAACTACAGCTCCTTCTGAGAAGCAGGCAGATACCCCGGGGAGGGCGGCGAGTGGGCTGGCATTTTTGAGTAAGCGCGAATTCATCAAGTCGGCATTAAATGCTCGGTTAGTCACCAGGTATGTTATTCCACTTAATCTCCTTTAAGTGACTTAAACGGTTATTAATACCACTTACATCTTACAGATGAGAAACCTGAGACTCAGAAAGGTTCGGCAGTGTGTTCAAGATCACCTAGCTCCAGTGGCCCAGTCCCCTGGGGCCCCCTCATAGCCACAAGGGCTGACATCTTCAGTGTGTGAGGCAGCCCTGGAGCTGTGCAGCGCACACCTCACAGCAGCCCTAAGAACACCAGCCTGTCTGAACCCAGAGGACCCTCTCCACTCTGTCCTCTGGGTATAGTGCTAGCTTCATGCCTATCCTTTGTGGAGCCCCAGGCTTGGAAATAACATTTCGCTCTATCCGAACAGTGGAAATTTAGAGACAGTCTTAGATTTAGAATCATCTTCCACGTAAATATATTTTGTGTATTTATTTCTGGTGTGGTAAATTTCCCAAAGATGAGAACTGTGCAACTTACACATTTTGTATCTCCAACTAGTGTACCGATTTGGACGTGGCATATAGTTAGGGTCATCCCAGAAAAGCAGCAGACTACAAGTCAGAAGTTTTAGTTCTAACATTTCCATTTGTCACTTTTGATGCCGTGCAGCTTGTGGGATCTTAGTTCCCTGACCAGAGATTGAACCTGGGCCCCCTGCAGTGGAGTCCTAACCACCGGACCACCAGGGAAGTCCCTCCATTTAACATTTTTGAGAAGCAACATAACACAGGTGGCTAAGGGTTCTAGAGCCAGATACTCTGAGTTCAGATTCCGGCTCCACCCCTTTCTAACTCAATAAGCGTGTCACAATTATTTGGTGCCTCAATTTCCTCATCTGTAAAATGAAGGCATAATAGTTGTATATTCTTCAGAGGTGGTTGTGAAGATTAAATGAGCTATTGCCTGTAAAGCACTTAATCCTCTAATGTATGTAAATAGCCTAGGAAGAATCTGTTATATAATTGGTTTTCAAGATGGTAATCGGTAGGCTTTAAGGAAAGATTTCACTCATTTCATCAAGTTCCTTTTCTGCTGTGGGTTACCACAATGATTTTTTTTTAAGTGATATACCAATTCATGTCTAAAAATTTCTCCTAGTATAATATTCACCTGTAATAGTAATTTACAAGACATGACTATTCCCATTCCCAGGGGCCACTGCTGTGGATGGAGAGAGAAGAAAGGACAAATGAAACCGTCAAGAGCTGGGGTGATGTCGAAGACCTTGTGTGCCATCCGTGACTCCTCCCAGCTGACGGCTTCCTGATGGCAAAGTCCCACAGGTTACAACACTGACAAACACGCTATTTGACTCACATAGTTGGTTCAGTCACCACATATCCTGGCCACGGAGCACTGACTATAAAGGAAAGGACAGTTAAGTCAGGCTGTGGTTCATGTTTCCTTGCTTCCCCGAAGGCGAGAACCCTTGAAGACAGATTTAGCATTCTCTGCTACAGATGGATAACTAACGAAATACTGAAATTAGCAGAGGGGGCCAAGGTGGGGTTCATGGACAGTCCTGGAGTGATAACATATCAACTGGAATGAACACAAGATTTGCATGTTTTTGTTTTTGTTTTTTTAGCTGTGTAGTCCAAAGCAAGTTGCTTTCTTTTTAAAAATTTTTGTTTACCTTTAATTAGAGCCTGAATACATACATTTGTATTCTTTAAAATACACAAAAAAGATGGTCTCCCACAAGCACTATCCCTCCATCTCAGTACTTTCTCAAGAGGAAGGATTTGCCATCCTTTCAGGCATTTTCCCATCCATTTACATATGAGTCATCTAAATGTATATATCTTTTTTTTTCTGTTGTTGTACATACGTCATTAAATTGTACATACTTGCCATTCAGTTGGCTTATCTTACTTATCAAGTTTCGGCAGTCTTACAAGGTCAGTCCAATCCATAAAGGGCTGCATTATTTTTTTTAAATGCTTGATGATATCAGTATTGCATAAAATGGCAATACCATGCTTAATCTGTCTCTTCTTGTGTTGATGACGTGTAGCTTGGCTGGAGTCTTTCAGACTTACAAACGTGTTTCAAAATACTTCCTGGTACATGCCTCCTTGGGCACATAAGTGGTTCTCTAGACTAAATACCAAGAAATGGAATTGCTGGATAAGAATATTCACATGTTACATTTCGACAGATACTCCACGATGGAGTATCTACTCCTTAAGAGAATAGGAGAAGGATGTGATGATGAAGGGCCCGGATTCCTGGGTTCAAATCTTAGCTCTGCCACATACTAGCTTAACTTCTCTCTTCCTCAGTTTCAACTGTAAAATGAAGAGAAGAGCAGTACCTGCTTCATTTGGTCGTTAGGAAAATTGAGTGTATGTACAAACTCTTCTGAATAGCATAGCAAGTACTATGTTAGTGTAAGCTGCCAGCAAGAGCTTTGGGTTTAGTATCAGCAAAATTACAAAAACATCTCCCTCTCACGTTGGTGGAGAACAGGTAAGAGGTAACAGGAGAACTCTTTGAACATTTCAAGCCCTCGACTGATGCCAAGTTTTGTTTTGGCCAATCTGCCCTCACACACATAGCCAGTGGCATGGCTGCTGTCAGCAGGAAAGCTGTTATCAACTGAAGGGGTCAGGGAAGAGCTCTCAGCCCATTTGCAGATAACGGGTAAGCAGCTCTTCTGGGGCTTGCAGGAAAGCTAGCTGTCCGTGCTTTCTCACTGGGGACAGGAGGGATTAATCCTGACGACTCAGCCTAATCCAAGGGCAACTGGGTTCCTGAATCGGCCATTGTCAGTTACCCCAGATTTGGATGCCACACCCACTGTCACTTAGTACCCAGTCCCCTGTTAGCGAAAAGCACCCTTCACAAAGATGGGTTCTGGAAATCTGGGGAGGCAGACCAGGTGTGGAGAGACAGTTAACATGTTTGGGATGCCTTCTATGTGTCAGCCCCCAGGCTGGGCACTTCATAAACATTATCTCATTTAATCCTCGCAGTGAAACTACCAGGGAGGCGTTCTATCTTGTTTCACAGATAATGACTTGGAAGCTTAAGGTGACTTTAAAGAGTTGATGTAACAAACCTAATTCCTCACTGCCTGCAAGTGGCAGGGCTGGGATATGAGTCCAGATTTGTTGGAGCGCAAGCGTCGTGCTCTTTCTTGGGTATGATTTTAGGGTTGTATGTGAGAAATAGAGGCTAAATAAATGAATAAATAAACCCATGAAGAAACGCTCAACGTCATTAGTCATTAGGGAAATACAAATCAAAACCACAATGAGATAGCATTTCACACCCACTAGGATGGCTATTACAAAACAGAGAGTCAAATGTGGGCGAGGCTATGGAAAAAAACAACCCTCAGACACGGCAGGTGGGAATGTAAAATGGTACAGATGCTTTGGAAAACAACTTGACAGTTTCTTCAAAAGTTACACATAAATTTACCAAAAGACCCAGAAATTCCATTCCTAGGTATCCACCCAAGAGTAATGAAAACATACGTCCACACAAAGACTTGTACATAAATATTCTTAGCAGGATTACTCATAATAATCAAAAATTGGAAATAACCTAAATGTCCATTGGAAACAACCTAGATGTCCAACTAGTGAATTGACAGACAAAATGTGGTCTAGCCATACAACGGAATACTATGGATAATGAAAAGAAACAAAGTAGGATACATGGTACAACACAGATGAACCTAAAAAGAATTCTCATTATACTCAGTGAAAGAAGCCAGAAACAAGACACCACCACGTTTCATTTATATGAAACGTCCAAAAAAAGCTATTGAGGCCAAAAGTAGATTAGTGGTTGCTGAAGGTGCAGGCAGTGGGGAGAATGCTAATTCACAATAAACACGCATGCAGAATCTTTTTTTTAACTTTTTATTTTATATTGGAGTATAGTTGATTAACAACGTTGTGATAGTTTCAGGTGTACGGTAAAGTGATTCAGTTATACATATACATGTATCTATTCTTTTTCAAATTCTTTTCCCATTTAGGTTATTACAGAATATTGAGCAGAGTTCCCTGTGCTATACAGTAGGTCCTTGTTGGTTATCTATTTTAAATATAGCAGTGTGTACATGTCAATCCCAAACCCCCAACTGTCCCTTTCCCCGACCCTTCCCCGCTGACCATAAATTTGTTCTCTAAGTCTGTGAGTCTGTTTCCATTTTGTAAATAAGTTCATTTGTGTCATTTCTTTTTAGATTCTGCATATAAACGATATCATATGATATTTCTCTTTGTCTGACTACACTCGGTATGACAATCTCTAGGTCCATCCATGTTGCTGCAAATGGCATTATTTCATTCTTTTTAATGGCTGAGTAATAT